CCGGGCCCATCCCAGCCTGCAGGCAGCGTCTGTGTGCAGTCAGTACAAAAGGGAAGCAGTCATTTTCACTGGCTTCAAATTTTGTTGAAAATAATATGGTTTTTATTTTGTGTCTTTTGTTTTCCAATTTCCCAATGAACTTCTACATTCCAAACCTCACGAGCAAAGGAACCATATGGAGAAAACAAAAGAACCGAATAAAACCGAAATCTGTCTGAGCCCAACCCAACACCAGTGGATCCAAGGAGCTGCGCTTTGCTCCTCATTTACCCACCGCTGCTCCGCCGCCACTGCGCGGGCACATGAAGTGCACTTTGCTGCGGCTGGTGAAGGATCCTCCTTGTCCTGTCCTGATTTGTGACATGCCAGGAGGCAGAAAAAACCTTCGCAATACTCTGCCTGGAAGGTCAGGGAGCAGCCCTGCCCTCTGTTCCATGAGTGCGGCAGAAGCCGGCTGTGCCACATTCCTTGCTGGCCCCGTGCTGCTGATTGCGGCCACCTGGCAGTGCCCAGCTGGGGTGGGCAGGAAGCGGGCAGGGCTGTGCCAACAGCCCCTCAGCCCCTGCTGTGGGAAGGACACCCTGCTGCTCCACAGGGGCCGCAGGCGCAGCCGATCTCGTGGGTGGGCGCTGCTCAGGTGCTCACCTGGAGCTCGGGGTGCAGCACGGCTCCCCAGGACGGAGCGAGGCCGACCTGCTGCCATTGGGCCGTGCTCCTACAGCACGGTCGAGGTAACCTCGGGTGCTGGTTCTGCTTCGCTGCTTCACTGTGGTGCCATCCTCCTTGTGCCACTCACTCTGTACCGTTTTCCCCCTCAGAGGCGATCCGGACAAATGTGACATCTGGGGGAACACTCCGCTCCACCACGCCGCGTGCAATGGCCACATCCACTGCGTCTCCTTTCTGGTCGGCTTCGGTGCCAACATATTCGCTCTGGACAACGAGCTCCGCACGGCGCTGGACGTGGCTGCCAGCAGAGATCGCCACGAGTGTGTCAGGCTGCTGGACCGGGCCGCCACGGAGCAGAACGTGGCCAACCCCAGGAAGGTCTCCAAACAGAAGGCCCAGGCCCAGAGGAACGTGGAGAAACAGATCAAGGAGTGCGAGAGGCGGCAGGAGAAGCACCAGCACGAAATGAACAGGAGCTACATGAAGGAGAAGGTTGGCTCGGTGACCTCCTCCAGAGGGACTCACTCCAGGGTGAAGCTGCCGACTCTCTTCACATCGAATACAGCAGCTCCCTTCTCCAAAAACCTGAAGGATACCTTCAAACTGAAGGCAAAAAGGATGGCCGGCAGCACGAGAAGCCAGGAGCCACAAAGCAACGGCCAGGCAGACGGCGGGGACAGGGGAAGCGTGATGCACTTGTTCGACGAGAGGGAGGAGGACGACTTACCCGACGATAATGGCCAGCTCTCCATTTTCACACGGCCAGGTCTCGGCAAGATCGTGTTTGGAAGGAATTTGGCTGCAGATATAGACCCCGGAACTGTGTCCTCCCAGAAAGAAGGTATCAGCTTTAAAATGTCCAGCGAGCTCTTCCAGAATGAAGGTGCTGAGAGCAGCACGGAGGGCAGTGCTGGAAGCGGTGCGGATGTCCCCTGGCAGGAGGAGGAGCTGCTCTGGGACGAGGAGGAAGCAGAGAGCATGCCCCTGGAGGTGTTTCTGGCCTCACAGATGCTGGACGAGTTTCTACCCATCTTCATGAGGGAAAAAATGGATTTAGATGCCCTGATGCTGTGTTCTGACGAAGACCTACAGAGCATTCAGGTGGAGCTGGGGCCGAGAAAGAAAGTCCTGAGTGCTGTGAGTAAAAGGAAACGGGCATTCCAGGATCCCGGAAAGACTGTGGATACCTGCTTGTAAAACAGCATCCCCGCTGCTGAGATCTGCTGATCTGCACGCTGAGATCTTTTCCTGCTTCAAAACAGCATGCAACTCTTCTCAGACCACTGCTAATGCAAAGGGCAAAGGGTTCATGGCAGTGCAAGGAGCTCACGGAATGCAAAGAGCTGGTGGTAATGCAGAGAGGTGCAGTCAGACCAGGGCTCCTCACTGGGTTGGTGGCTGTGGTGCGCAGGGTGCCCTGTGGATTTCGGCACTGCATTCTGGATTCTGCCAGAACGAGATCGCGACAGTAAGAGCCAAGAGCTGAAATCCAGGGCTCGTTCTCCCTGCTTACATGGGTGGGGGTCTCTGGGTGTGATGAACGCACTGCCCGGCTTAACGAACTGCCCCGATCTTCTGCAAAACACCACCGAGTGCTCCCAGAGCTCCAGGCTTCCAGCTTTATCTCTGTCCCTGTGTTAGACTGCTGCAAACTGCTCTTCTCAGTGCTGCTGCTCTGCTAGAATAAAATCCGCTCCTCGGCTCCAGCTGGGGCTCACTGCCTCTGCTCGTGTCTGAATCCAGGTAAATAGGAGTATCTCACACCAGCTCCGTGCTGCCGCTCACATCTCTCTGCTGCTGTTGCTGAGGAGAGCCTGAAGGCCCCACTGAGATCCAAGGGGGTGAGCGGCCCCTCCTCTTGCCTCGCTGTGTGCCAGCACACACAGTGTGCGAAGTGGCACCGGGAGGAAATCCCTCTGAGGACACGAGGCCGAGGGTTTCTTTTCCACACGTTTATTGGTTCTGTGTCCCCGCAGGGCACGGCTGGCACGCGGACCGAGGAGCAGAGCCGTGCAGCCGGTGCTGCTGCCGCTCACTGCCACCTCAGCCCAGCACTGCAGATGCACACACATCCAGCTCACAGGAGCAGGCGGGCAGGCGATGAGCAGGGCTGGTTTCCCACTGGTTCCATAGCCATAGACTGGTCCCACAGCTGGAGAGGCACGGTGCCTTTCCTTCAGAGTGCATGGCATTTGTGGAAACAAATTGCAGTTAATCATCTATTTGTCATGCTCCATTCTTTCCACATTTTTGTTTTCTCTGATTTGCTCACCATTGCTTTCCTTGGCTGGACTTTGTGCTGCATTTCTTCCCTTTCCTGGCACTTGGTATGCTGTATTTCCCCGTGCCAAGCAGTGCCGTCTGACCTGCACTGTGCAGCATCAGCTGCCAGCTGTGAGCACAGGGATAGGCTGAGATCGGTGTTGGTTTGGTTCTGGCTGAGTCTCACCAATATTTAACGAAGCAAGAAGCAAACGATGAACCATATATGTGTGAAACTACATAAGTGGATTTGAAGGGCCAAATCCAGTCCTTGTCAGCCACATCGCTGGTGGAGAGGCGCAGGGCATGGTGCCTGAGGAAACCAACAACCCCATCCCCCACCATGGCACCCAGTGAAATCCCACTGCCATTTCTTCTGCAATTCCATTTGGGTATCCCTCAGAGCTGACCCTCCCTGTCCACCCAGCCCAGTGCTCATTGGCACCGGTGCTCTTCAACCAACGCCGCGGAGGATGGCATCGAGCGCACCTCAGCAGTTTGCTGATGGCACAACAGCAGGGAGGGACGGCACCCAGAGGGACCTGGGCGGGCTGGAGAAGCGGCACACGAGAACCTGCTGAGGTTGAGCAAGGCCCAGTGCGGGGTGCTGTACTTGGGTCGGGGCAATGCCAGCTGTGTGCAGGCTGGGAGAAGAGCTCACAGAGAGCAGCCCTGCGGAGAGGAACGTGGGCGTTCTGGTGGACCAAGAGCTGGACGTGAGGCAGCAGTGTGCGCTCGCAGCCCCGAAGGCCGACTGCATCCCGGGCTGCGTCAGCAGAGGGGGGCAGCGGGCAGGGAGGGGATTGTCCCCCTCTGCTCTGCCCTCGGAGCCCCCAGCTGCAGTGCTGCGTCCAGGCCTGGGGCCCAGCACGGGAAGGGTGGGAGCTGTTGGAGCGGGGCAGGGGAGGCAATGAAGATGCTCGGAGGTTGGAGCACCTCTGCTATGGAGACGGGCTGAGGAGCCGGGGCTGTGCAGCATGGACAGGAGAAGGCTGCAGGGAGACCTCATTGCCTTCCAGGACTTAAAGGGAGCTGATGAACAGGAGGCAGACCGACCTTTTACACCAGCAGACAGGGAGAGGACAAGGAGAAAAGAGTCTAAGCTAAAAGAGGCGGGTGTGGGTGAGCTGTGGGGGAAACTCTTCCCTCAGAGGGCGGTGAGGCGCTGGCACCGCTGCCCGGAGCCGTGGGCGCCCATCCCTGGGGCTCAGAGCCACGGCCGGGGCAGCCGGAGCTGGGGGCAGCCGGAAGGTGGCAGGGTGGGGCTGGGAGATCTTCAAGGCCCCTTCCAACAGAAGTCATTCTATGATTCCGTGATCTCCACTAACTCCGTGCAGATGGCAGATAGCACATGAAGCCCCCAGGAGCCCCTCATCCTGCTGGAGATGCAGCTGGAGGAACCCCCCAGAGGCACACAGGACAGTGCCTTGCAGGCAGCTCAGAGCGGCCCAGGACATCCACCTGCACTTTGCCATTTCCTAACGGGGGGAAAGGAAGAGAGAGCCTTTTCTGGCAGGTTGTCCTGGAAATGGAGCTCTGGGATAAAACAGCAATGTGGAACAACTGGAGAAAAACAGTAAGATTCACATTCTATTCCTTTTCCCCTACTTGTGTTTTTCTGTTTCTCCATAGCTATTTTTTTTTTTATTATTATTATTTTTTTTATAATTTGGAACTATTTAATTAGGCAATTGCAGATGCAACTCCTCAGTAACATCTGCACAGTGCATTTCAGCAGGAGACACGATGTGCTTTATGTACAGTCCTACAATTCCACCCAAATGCAAACTGCAGAGCCGTGAGGTCTCACAGGAGCAGAACTGAGAGCACCACGATGTCATTTCCTTACAGAGCGCTGGCTGCGCAGGGATGGACGCTCGAGGAGAGAAAGCACGGCGCAGCACTGAGATCCCAGCAAGCAGCTCCGCGTTCCCCCTTCCCACTCAGTGGCCCCATCTCCCAGAACGGCATTCGCTGCAGCACCAGAGTGCTTTCCTCCTGATCTAAAAGAGCAAAGGGCAAAGCCCGCCCGGCTGACCAGAACGGAGTAACGGACAACAAAACACAAGTCGAACAGGAGCTATTTATTTTAACATAGATGAGAGTTGCAACAACTCTTGACTCTTAATTGGTAAGAGGAGGAAGCAGAGCAGCGCGCCCTGTTCTTAGCTCTCCGAAGACCTGGAGAAGACACCCAAGTGCTCCCACTGTGCCGAGCAGCCCGGCTCCCCCGGGGCAGCGGGAAGCCCAGTGGTTTCAGGTCCGGCTCACAGCGGCTCCCACCGCCGACAGACGCCGTGAGCGCCGCTCCGCGCCGCCTGCTGCTCTGAGATGCCGTCCGTAGCAGAGAACCGGCGGGATGAACTGTGCGCCGTCGCGGGCAGCGCGCTGCACCCAGCCCGCAGCGCCGCCCGCACGGAGCCGCGGCTCCCACGGATGCCCCGCGGTGCCCACGGCCGTCACAGCCCGGACACACTTCTCAGCACTTCGCAAATGACACAAAGAAAAAAGCACTCTAAAAACACAGGGGTGACGCTGCCACCATCACCACACAGAGCTGGGGGGAGAAATCTGTCCTCATTTCCGCTGACAGCAGCAAAAGCAGCCGAGTCCCACCTTTACCCACACAAACACATCCCCCCTCCCCCTCAGCCCACCGCGCTGAACCGCGCGATGCACACCGCTGCTCCCCGCCTTCCCGCTGCCCTGAACTCACGGTTCTGAACGCCACGTGCAGCGCTGACACCGTCCTCACTCACCCCTTCCACACGTACCTATTTGCCAACGAGGTGCCCATGTGCAAAGCTCACAGCCTCCTCCCCCTCCGCCCTGAGTCTTCCGACCCCCACCCGCTCCTCCCCGAGCGCAGGCAGGCAGACCGGCCCACGGGAAGTGCAGACCGACCCAGGGGAAATGAAGCTTGCAGACACTGCAGTGTGACACAGGGGCTGCACGCACACCAAGGCTGCTCCCAGCCACTGCCCAGCCCGCTGTGCAGCCATCACGTAACCACACAGAATGGGAACCCCTCCTTCTGCAGAGCATTCCCAGCTCTGCTGCAAGGGAGGACCACAGACATTCCTGCCCCAGCACGGACCCGCTGGGATAAGAACTTTTACAAACACACAGCACAGCCAGGTGGAACCCATTTTCCTGAGCACTCCAAGTCCTACCAGCCAAAATCAGCCAGTGCTGTTCCAGCCACCAAGATGCTTTGAGAACAGCTTGCATACACCATAGGTGACTAAGGAAATCTCCCAACTAACAAAAGGAAACACTAAATCAAAGCACATTTTCAGCACTGACATTTTGGGTGAGTCCCTCCAACACGAAAAAGGCAAAACCACAGGCAGGAAAGCAGCAAAAGAGGGATTCAGTACAGTTTCAGCCTGCCTGAGCCAGGTTTCCTATGACAAAGCCTACCTTTTTCCCTAGCAGGGAAGGCACGGCTTTGTATGCAGGTCCTGCTGGGGAATGTGCTCCTAAATGAAAACCAGTGAGGTGTGGGGCAGGAAATGGGACACTGCTGGGGGCTGATCCCAGCGGAACGGAGCGGCTCTGCTCCCCGTAGGGCTGAGGAGCTGCTCACAGCCAGCACTGCACTGAGACCATCACAGCTCCACATGTGGAACTCCAGTCTCCAAACTGCCTGCTACCCCAGTGGGAACGAGCCTGCTAAAGCATGAGATCGTGCCCTGGACTGCCACACCATAAATAACGAGGGAGGACATAGCAAAGCGTGCGAGAACACCCTGTTAGTGTAAGTGCTGTCATCCACCCACACACTGTATGAGACATTTGCTAGCAGTGCTGCAGGTACCTAACAGCTACAGAAAACAGCAGCAAGTCCCATGAAGTGTTAGTTTTCGTTCTTGAAAGCTGCATTCAGGTGGGATTGCTGCCCATCTTGTTAACCAGAAATGCAAGGGAACCAAGTGCAAGTGATCTGCTGATACTTCATGGCCTTGCTGGCACTGCAGAGCTCTCTTCATTTTCCAGCTGACCATGCATCATACACAAACTTTGCAGCTACAGTATCTTCAACTGCCATCCCTGAAACAGAATGGGATTTGGCTCAGAAGGGAACAGGTGGACAGCAGCCAGTGGCAGCCCCATCTGCATTCTGAGCTACTGCCACCACTCCCTCTTGTCCATCCTATAGGAAGCCGACGTAAGTCTGAACCCGACAGCAGTGCTCCTCTAGTGAGACCCTCCAGCTGCAGCACACGGCACACAGCTGCCCTTCCCCCAGGGCTGCAGATCACTCCGCGCTCCCCCATCACCCGCAGCAGCCGGAGGTCAGACAGCAGCATGCTCAGCCACAGCTGCCTCCATATGCTCTGCTCTCACACTGGATAATGGATAGCACACTTTTCCCACTGCTATTTTGCTTTCTTATCACCTTTCACTAGGCAGCCCTGCTGGACAAATTGCAAGGGAGAGCACAGCTCCCACAGCCACTCAGCAGCAGCTCAGCAGCCTTCCCATGTGCAGCCCTACCAAGAGACAGGGGCCCCTGGCTGGGCTGTGCGCAGCTGGAGCTGCCCTTACCCAGGGACTTGAAGACCGTGGTTTTCTCAGGCAGCGCTGGTTTTGTACCCTTCAGCACCTCCCCCAGCTCAGCAAAAATCTCTGCCTGCAAAACAGACGTGTTTACACCAATGTAATATCCACGTGCACATTAAAACATGCGCTTCCTAAGTGATCATCAATGCAACTCTTTCCTTTTTGCTCTGAAACTTTCCTATGGGGAAAGAAATCAGTGCCCACTGCTGGAGTACACAGAGAGGGTGGAAACTGCAGAGCAGACAGAAGGACAGACCACCACCACGGGCAGCTGTCAGACCACGCTCATGAACCAGGCTGTTCCTAGCGGGCATCTTGTCATCCACCCCGCAGAACCAATGGCGCTCCACCCCCACACCCCCGTGTGTCAGACATCAGAAGGGGAACCGCTCCCGTTCCGCACAACGGCTCAGGCAGAGCGGCGCTGAGTGCAGCTGTGCCTCCCGGCGCCCTGCAGAACAATAATGGCTCATTGCTCCTCATCCTGAGCTCTGAGTCGCATCACTCCCACTGAGATCTTACAGGAGCAAGGGGACAGATTTAATTCAAAGATTTGAAATATTCATATTAATTAACAAAGAGTGCAAGAAATGCACACCTTCCAGAACAGCACTTGGTTACTGTCCACCAAGGGCAGCGATGAAGGCCGTGTAACCACAGGCACAGAAGGTACACGGCTACATCACAGGCATCTCAAATCAGTTCCCCATCTGACAGCCACACACCGTGCAGCCCCAGCACAGCACCCAGCCCGCAGTGCTCCCGTCCCAAGCACCGCTCATCTCCAACACTGCTCCGCAGCACCAGGGCACCCAGACTCACCCCGGACAGAATGACATCGCCTGACTCCGTCAGCGCTGCCTCTCTGGAATCCACAACCAGAACAGAGCTCTTCATCAGCGCATCGTCCAGCTCCCTCCAGTCCGGCCTGCTTGCTCCGACCGCTGAGACAACACAACCCATCAGCTGAGAGAAACACTGGGAGCAAATTCAAACGCGCATTGTCCACAGACTCACAAAGTGGCCATGGACGGAGGTGGGAACGTGGCATAGCACAGAGGCACAGCACCCCGTCACCAAAGCACTCCCGTTCTTCATAAGCAGAACCAGACCAGCTTGAGTCAGAACAGCTTGTTTTCCTGGGCTTTTGTTTTCTTAAGCAGAGCTAACAATCTCCTCCAAAATATGCTCCTAACAAATGTCTTTGCACAGAGAGCTGAGGCACACGTGGATCACCTCCTCTGCCCACCGCCTCTCACAGCCCCCTCCTCTCATCACCTCAGCACCAAAGCACCCCACGTTTGTCACCCTTTCACGTGACCCAGATGTGTCTATGCCGCGTGCCTACAAAGGAGAAGCCTCGAATCACCGCGCAGGTATCCCAAGCAGAGCTCACTGCCGGGACCCGCGTGCAGCAGAGCTCAGTGTTACCAACAGCTGTAAGCACGACAAGGCACACAGGTTACAGGTACTGATCCACAACAAGAAACAAATCCACGGGCTTAACCTCCGAGTACAGAAGGATTGCTACGAGCTTCTGGGCTTATTAAACAGTTATCGCAGTTAAGCGCTTCTGAAGAGAGCTGTCTGTGGAGTAACAAGCGGTGCGGGGTGGAGGGGTTCGAGAGGAGGAAAGAGGGTAAGAGGAGTCTGTGTCTGCGTCGCCCCGATGACCGAGGGCCGCGATTGCCTTCGGTGCAGTGGGGCAAAGCCGGGAGGCTCCGGGCTGCCGCAGCCCCGTGGGAACGGCCCGACGCCGCGCTCCGACAATCCGCCCTTTGTCTCAGCACCGCCGGCGGCTCGCCCGGCCGCAATTCGCGGCGTCGGTCCGCCCGCAGCCCGAACAGCGCCGGGAGCGCCGCCACGGAGCCGCCGAACCGCCGCGGGGGGTCCGACCCAAAGGCTCCGGGCACCCGGTACCGCCCGACGTCGGCCGTCGGCTCCAGGGAAAACCGACCCGAACGGCGCGGGGAAGGACGGACGGCCGCGCCAGGAGCCGCTCCGCACGCCGTGCCGTCGGTGCAGCGGCCGGCAGGAAGGCAGGGCGAGCGCCGCGGAACCGACACCGCACGCGATCGCACCCCACAGCGAAGCCGCCGCAGGCGAGCAGCGCGCCGCGTACCGTTGATGTGGGCTCCCGGCTTCACCCAGTCTCCGAACAGAATGGGCGTCGTCGCCATGGTGACCGTTACGATCACATCGGCCCCCAGCACCGCCTCCCGGGCCGTGCCGCAGACCCGCACCGCGCCGCCCACGGAGCTCGCCAGCCTCACCGCGCGCTGCTCGCTGCGATTCCACAGCCGGACCTGCGGGGAAACGCACGGATCAGCCCGGGGCCCTGCCTGCCGAAGGGCCAACCGCTCCGCTCCCTGTAGGCGAGATTGGGGTTGGGTTCTTTTTACCGTCGTGTGACACGGAGGCAGTTTCTCTTTGGGCAGCCGGGAAGTCAGCCCTCGTACAGCCGCACTCAACAGCACCGAGGAGCGAGCCCCGGGTGCCCCTTACCTCCGTAAATGGGAACAGCTCCGTGAAGATCTCGTAGTGGCTGCGTGCTTGGACACCAGCTCCCAAGATGCACAGCACTTCTGCAGATCTCGGCATTAGCAGCTAGACAGCACCAGAGCAAGCAGACGGTTAGAAAACAGATCAGCTGGTGCGACAAACGGATCGCAAGTACCGCAAAAGCAAGCAGTCCTCGTAGACCCTTAAAGGAAAAGAACCACGGCTTCGTGCAAAGCTGCTCTCTCTCTCTCTCACACACACCCCACCCGCTGGTGCCAGCAGATTTGAGGTACAGCAGTACGGACCAACGCAGCTCCCACGGCACACGGCAGTATTAGCAAAACACATCGCATCCACGTGACAAACGAAGCACAGAACCATGATGCCGGGGTTCTGCACCGGCTGAGAACTGGGCAGCCCCTGACAGAGCTCCTTCTGCAGCTGTAAAGCCACAGATCACAGCGCAAGCAGGGCTGGGTGCTGCAAGAGGCAATCCTGGCTGGCCCCACGCTCCCCCAAGAGGGGCGATTCCCCACCCCAGCCTGGATCTCCACTGCAATGGCTCCAGCTCCTTCCCATCCCCCACAGCACACCAACACCTGTGTGCTTTCAGCATCCTCCCACCCCTTTTCTGATGGGCTGAGAAAGCAAAGGGAGTAATAACACGGTGGTAGAACAGGAGCTGCTGAGATGCAGGCTGCTCCTTCCTAACTGGTAGCAGCTGAGCTCCCTGCCCCAGCAGGGCACCAACTCCACCTCTCCCCTTCTCAGCTGCCGATGAGAATTAAGGACCTCAGTAACTTGGCAGCTTTCGCTCCCATCACATCTGATTGACAGCAGTCCACAGATTTAAGTGCTAGGCAGCAACAGAAGCATAGTCACTGTAAGGACACAATTTTGGGGGGGATCTTTTTTCCTACTTTGCCTGAACTTGTCCCATGTGCACAGCAGCAGGTCCATTTAGTTTAACCTATGAGGAAAAACACTGCTTCCCAGATACTGTATTGCTGTGCATTTGTACCCTGTAACCTCTATAAAAGACCTAGCCACAGCAGGGATGATGGAACTGCTGATGTAGGAAACATTGGACAGTAAGAACAGGAATGCCTGAGGAATACATCGCCAGGTTCAGCTCTGTGGTCGCTTTGGGTTTTCTGGTTCAGTTCCCGCCTGTGATTCAGCAGCACTTGGCAGGAGAGCAGTGCGGGCTGCAGCACGGCCCCACGCTACCTTTGTCTCTTGTTTGTGCTTTCACTACAGCCACTCACTTCTGCATGAAAAGCTTTTGAGCTGTGCAGACACTCACTGCTTATTCTGCTGGAAGAAAATTGAGGGGAAAAAAAATCTCATTACTGTGTTTTTCAGTAGCAAAAACTCTTTGTAACATTCCTTTCAAAGGCTCTGAAGCACTAATCTCAAAGGTTCCTTGCATAAAAGCATTGGGTCTTTGAAAGCTGAGTGTCAAAGAGGGGACGTGATGACAGCTATGAGCTAAACTCAGACACTGCTGAGAGCTTCCCAGAGCAGTGGATAGCAGTGAGAGTCTCATCATGAAGCCCCTCCAGCAGCTAAAGCTCTTCTGAGCCAGCAGAGGCTGTGGGAAGCAGTCAGAGTGACCCGTGCACCATGGTGGGATGGACGGCAGATGAGCATCACATTCTGCCAGCTCTTCTGCCCTGGGAGCAGGAGAAGCTGCTGAGGATGGGTTCTTCAGCTCAGCTTTCTGCCAGTTCCATTTTGGTGCCACAGACAGTGCCAGGCAGGCATAGAGTGCTGCTAGCAAAGCACTGAGGTCAGCCCCACCTGGGCACAGAAATCAGGAGCGCTCTTCAGCTCCAGATCTCCTTCCTCTCACTCGGCTGAGCTGGAGCTACGGCACTGCAAGCTGCTCTGCCCACACACAGCAGCACAGCCCGGGTGTGTTTTAGGAGAGTTTGAAAGCAACCACATCTGACAGAGCATAAAGCAACACACAGAGGTCTGCATCACCGCCCTCAATCAGCACGGCTGTCACACGGCCGCCGTCCTCGGGAGCGCCCACGGGAAACAAACCCTTTCCCCACAAACCCGGCGGCACCGCACGGACCACCGCGAGGCTCCGCTCTGACCGGGGCAGCCCGACACCGACCTTCGTAGCTATGGCAGAAACCGCCGCCGTGCGCTTCGCCGTGATGACGGAGCCATCCAGGACCTTCCAAAACAAACAAACAGCAGCAAACTGAGACACACAGCACGCACTGAGCGCCCGACGCCCGCAGCGAGCCGTGAACGAGGCACGGCACGGCACGCACGGCCCCGCGCCGCAGGGAGCGCAAAGCGGGGCAGCGGATAACGCGTCGCCCACCGCTTATCAGCCGCCGTCGCGACAGAATAACGAAAGCCGTCGCGGCTCCCCGAATCCCCGCCGCCCCCCGAGCGGCCCCGCCCGCACCCCGCGGGACGCACCGCTCGCAGGGAGCCGCAGCGGGGGTCGAAGAGCAGAACGGTGGCTCGGTGGGACGGCGCGGCGGAGTCCCCGCGGCGTTCGTAGAACGTCACCAGCTTGGTGGTCAGCGCGTCGTCCGCGGCGCTGTACGCGGGCATCACCCCCAGGAACCTGGCGGAGAGAGCGGCGGAGAGGGCGGCTCGGCGGCGGCGCGGACGGGCGCACCCGCAGTCCCCGACGGCCCCACCGGGCGCTCACGGCCCCGCGCCCGCCCCGGCCCCTCCTCACCCCCCGTGCGGCCGTACGGGCACCACGGCTCGCAGCGGCTGCTCCACCCCGCCCGCCGCGCCCGCCGAGAAGTTGCGCAGCGCGGCCTCCAGCCCCGGCAGCAGCAGGCTGGCACGGGGCAGCAGCCGCTCCACCTCCGCGGAGCCGATGAAGACGGGCGGCGCCGAGCTCATGGCGAACCGACCCAGCTCCGCACGCAGCGCCGTGCGGCCGTCCCGCAATAAATACCGCCCGGCTGCCCCGCCCACGGCCCCGCCCTTCCCGGAGTAGTAGAGTCCCGGCGCCGCAGTGCTAGAGCGCCGCGCGGCGCGGGGCACGCCGGGAAGGCGGAGTCCTCCCCGTGGATCGGCCATCTTGTCCTCCTCGCACGGTACCGCAAGGCACTATGAGGCGCTTCCCGCTGCCCGTCCGGTGCTTCGCGGTGAGTGGTGCTCGGGGCGGTGGAGGGGAGTGGGGCGGAGCAAAGCGGGGCAGGCAGGCCGGGACCGGAGAGCTCGTCTGGCGGCTGCCGGCGGACGAACCGGGCTGTAGGGCCGGGCCGGGCGGCGGCGCTGAAGGTCGGGCGCGGCGCGGCTGTGGCCGAGCCCCGGTACGGCCTGCTGGGCCTCGGCTGCGCTGCCGCGGCGGGAGCGGCTGCCGGAGCGCCGTGTTTGTGCCGGGCGCCGAACGGCCGCAGAGGAGCAGCGCTGCGACGCTGGCTGTGCCCGCGGCGCCGGTGGGGCCGTGTGTGCAGCGCTGAGCCGTGCGCTGCGGCCGGGCAGGCAGGGAGACGGCGGAAGGTGGCGAGAGGATAGAGCGCCTCCGCCGTGAGGCCGGGCTGAGAGCTGCGGCTGTGCGGCACGGGGAGCAGAAAGGGCCGAGGGGCTTACAGCCCTTCCAGGACATGAAGGACCTATAGCAAAGACGGGGAGGGGCTTTTTATAAGACGTACAGTGGCAGGACGAGGGGAAATGGCTTTAAACTGGAAGAGGGTAGCTTTAGCCTAGATATCAGGAAGAAATTCTTTACTGTGAGGGCGGAGAGACACTGGCACAGGTTGCCCAGCGAGGCTGTGGATGCCCCCTGCCTGGAAGCACTCGAGGCCAGGCTGGATGGGGCTGGGAGCAAGCTGGGCTATGGGAGGTGTCCCTGCTACAGCAGGGGGTTGGGATGAGATGGTCTTAAAGGCCCCTTCCAACCCAAACCATTCTGTGGTTGCTGCTACTGCCTGCTGCCCAATGGAGGACTCTGGCAGTGTTCCCCCCTCGGCTGGAAAGCACTGCAGATAAGCAGATGTCCTGCCTTGAGGCTGAGCTGCTGTACCAGATATATGTATCATGTATTTTTGATGATCCTTGAGGTCCCTTCCCTCCTAAGCCGTTCTGTGATTCTGCCCCAGAACAGACAGGGATTGCAGGGGCTCATTCAGTTAATTCCTGCATGGAGTTCCTACAGACCACGTGGTGCCAGGGGAGGTTGATACTACACGAAGGAAAGCAGGGCACTGTCCCAAGGTGCTGCTTTTTGGACTTCTAGAGGCCTTATTTAAGTCACTGCTTTGAAGTTTCAGCTGTAATGGATAAACAATTGGAGGAATTAAAAGGGAATGCATATTTTTGCTCTGTGATCTTAAGTTGTTTAATGTATTTCAACTTTAAAATAAGCTGCTTTGTTACTGTGTAGGAATTAATTAATGCAGCTGTCACAGAGTTAACTAGATCTATCTATGCCCATGACAGGGGGGCTGTTGGCTCCTGGGCCCCCCAGCCCCAGAAAATGGGAAGGGAAAGGGAAAATGGATAGGGAGGTGGGAGCTGGCCTCAAGGAAGGAAAAAAATCAGCAGCAACGATCTATGGAGGAAAACCTATTTTACTAACTATGATATCAGAATGCAAGATAACACAATATAATACAATGTAATTGAAACTGAGACTAATAAATCAAATAAAATAGGAGAGAGAGAGAGAGAAAGAAAGAGTTCCTGAGACCGAGTCAAACCTGAAAAGCTTGGAAGTGCTCAGAAAGCACCTCCAGCAGCACTGTAGGGCAGTAAGAGACCGCCCCACCTGGAAGGGCCAGAGCCCATGGCTTCGGTGATGTATGGGGATAGGCACCTGGAATGGAGCTTTAACACTTTAACTCCCCGTGCACCACATGATGTTATGATGCGGAATACTGAAAACCGAAAAACACAAAACCAACAGCAGCAAACTCCTTTCCTTCTGCTCTCTCCTCCAGAAGAGGCTGTACTCACTTAAAGTAGCACCTAAAGTTGCAGTGTCAGCGACTGCAGAGCGGGTGAAGCTGTCTCCGGATGCTGAGGATCTGGAGGTCAGTATCAGCATGGATATTTCTTTTCTCTCTTTCTTTCTTTTTTTTTTTTTTTTAAGTCAAGCAAAGCAGAACTGTGGCATTACGCCCAGAAACTGAGCCACTCAGAAAATGTTGCTTTTAATGCAGATCACAAAATTACCAAATGGATTAATTATTGCATCTCTGGAGAACTTTTCTCCGGCCTCGAGGATTGGTGTGTTCATTAAGGCGGGTAGCAGATACGAAACCACTGCTAACCTGGGAACTGCCCATCTGCTTCGACTCGCCTCCCCTCTGGTAGGTGGTTATTCTGTTTCTGCTTTGGTGGTGCCTAGAGTGGTAGAAGATTTAGGACAGCAAAGGGCAGCGGTGTGTAAGAGGTTGTGCCATGCTGCAGACAGCACATTGCTTGCTGGTTGGAGATGTCAGTGCAGGAGAAATGCCGTTGCTTTGTGGTAGTGCTGTTTGTGTAGAGCTGTGCTCTCTCGTGCTGTCTCACTGCATACCTAATGTGTCTGTGTCACACCAGGATGGGGCTCGTGCTGCAGTGAAAGACTTGGATGTCACACATGAACTCAGAGATGTATGAGAGTTGTTTCTGAATGGCTTTTCTCATCAATGCCACCAGGCTTAGTGTGACCTCTGGGGGCAGGGATATGCCAGCAGATTCAAGAACAAATTGTACACGTTCACTGCCAGCAGTCCTTACACAGCTCCAAAGAAGGGCAGGCAGAAGGTTTGCACTGAAACCCCCAGCACAGCTGCTGTAGGTTCTGCAGGAATAGTGCTGGATGGATTCTGGGTGCTGTACTGTAGCAGTCTCTTCTGGTGCTGCTGCCAGGAGGACGGTGCTGGGCACAGTGCTGTGGCTGCTCCCAGCTTGTAGTGTGACAGGACGTGCAGGCTTTCCTTGTCCTGGCAGTGCAAAGTTAATCAAGTTAAAGAATCCTCTGAAACGTTCAGCCAAACCTGGGTCATTTCCATAGAATGGGGCTGGGGGAGCAATGGGGTAATTGAGCTGGGAAATCAGAGAGAAGTATAGAATGGGAGTAAGGATGTGGTAAGTGGGCTCAGCTTCTCTGTATGGGGCAGTGGTTTCTGTAGGAATGGGTAAGCATGGACTGCTTCAGCTTTGCTGGAGCACTGACCCGTATCAGGCAAAGCTGTAATCTTAAGTCTCTTTTTTTTTTTTATTATTATTCCTTTTTTTAATAGACTACAAAAGGAGCGTCCTCTTTCAGGATTACTCGTGGCATTGAAGCTGTTGGGGGCAGCCTAAGGTTTGTAACCTGGCCCGCTGGGAGTAAAGCAGTGTGGCAAAGGGAACTGTGAAAGCATTACGGTGTGTGGCTGTGTGCATGCCTGGAAGGGAGGGTTTGTATGGGAAGCTTCTATGTTCTGTCTGCCTTTCTTGTCTTGAAGGTGAGACTTACTGAGCTCTGTGGATATTGTTTTTGTCTTACTTGGGAAATAGATAACAGCCCTACTGCAATTCTGAGAACAGTTTGGGTGGTAGATAAGTTTCCCAGTTTGGGAGTTCTAAGCCTAGAGAACCCTCCTGGGAGGAATGAGGGGCACCTGCCAGCTGTGCAGTGAGGTTGTGTTATACAGTGTGGTAGGTTACTCTGTATACTGCTCTTTTTGCCAAGGAAAAGAATGTGTTGAGGTGAGTGGAAAAGGCAGACAGTTTTCTGCCCACAAAGAGCAATTTCTAAATTACTTTGTTTGATATTTATACCCATTTTTCAGGTTTTACTCTTCAGTCTTGTTGTTTTACCATGAGTTATCACCATGTCCTGGATTCCTATGGCCCTGAGGCAATCGGTATCTCCTGAGTACTTCCCATACCTCTGCTAGGTGTGTGTTTGTGCTGCAGGGCTGTGTGTCTTAAAATGCTGCTATTCTCCCTCCTTTAAACTGGTACGCCCGTCAGTATCTTGCTGAAAGCTTCCATCAGTGGGGAACACGTGTGGAAGTCGACATGTTTCTGTGCTCTCAGCTGAAGCCCACCTGTGTGCGTTCTGTTGCAGTGTGTACTCAACGAGGGAGAAGATGACGTACTGCGTGGAATGCCTGCGTGACCACGTGTAGGTGTCCCAGTGCGCTGCGGGCAGAAGTCAGGTGGCTCTGTTACCATGGGGTATCGTTCTCCTGGGCGGGGCAGCAGCACCTCTCGTGTCGTGGTAATAAATAAAAACCATCACATTACTGTTCAGCTCCTGTGTTCGTGTTACTGAGCACCGAACGCTGCGGTGAAGGGGAATCATGGCACCTGCATCAGTGCTGGCTGCTGCCCTGGTCTGGGTGGTGTGCTCCGGTGTCGTTAGGTTGTTTGTGGGTGGGTTGGAGCTGCTTTCAACTGCCAAAGAAATACCTGCTGGTTCTGCTGCACTGAATGCCTTTCTCACTTTTTCTCTCCAGTGACACCGTAATGGAGTACCTCCTTAACGTCACCATGGCTCCGGAGTTCAGGCCATGGGAAGTCACTGATCTTCAGCCCCAGCTGAAAGTTGACAAAGCGGTCGCGTTTCAGAGCCCTCAAGTTGGTAGGTGTATTTCTGATTCACTGTGTTCATGCCATGGATGCGTCTTAAAAATGAAGGACTTGGAAAAACTCTTGCCCTGTCCCCCGACCACTTTATTTTTCAGCCTGCCCTGCTGATAGATACGGTCTTTCTGTTGTTACCTAACTTCTTCATAAGCCCACAAGTTTTTGCAGCCCATATGTGACATATGACTACTGCTTTTTACTGAAGCCACCCACCCTCCCCCCAGAAATGAACACAAACTGGGCTGTGTTATACCATGAGGCCAGAAAGTGTTGAGCATCTGCAAGTTCTCGAGAGCTTTTATAAGGTACAGCTCAACAGGAGTGCACAGACCAGATTTGTTGCTGGATGAAACTTTATTTGTGTGGGGCTGTTGCAGCTCCATGTCTGCAGGTCTTGTGAATGAGCACTACAAGGTGCACCGCAGCGGTGCGTCACCAGCCTAACACTGGCATTTATTGCTAATCCTGATGTTAATTGGAGCATCAGTACTGATAACTTTGTTCTCTTAGGAGTGCTGGAAAACTTGCATGCTGCAGCTTACAAGACTGCTCTGGCAAACCCTTTATACTGCCCAGACTACAGAATTGGAAAAATTACATCCGAGCAGGTAGGATTCTCATGTGATAAATCTCTCCCAGTTTCCTTACCAAGGATAGAGAACGGCAGACAGAGAAAAAGAATGGAGCAGATGTGCAGTCAGTGCTGATCATCTTTATCTCGTCTCCTCAGGGCTTTTGGTCATGAGCACAGAGCTCAGGCTTGCATTTAGAAGGACTGTGGTTGTATGGCTGTTGGTGAGACGTTGGCATACAGAAGCAGTCCATAGCTGTGCAGTGCGTGCAAAGCGCTTCTCCTGGGCAGGGAAGCGTGGCGGGTGGTGGCTTTAAGAAATGTGAGCTCTGAACAGCAGGTGTCACAAACATTTCTGCCTCTCTTGTTCTTTGTACAAAATATCTATAACTCTGCTTTCCTGTTGCAGCTTCACCATTTTGTACAGAACAATTTCACGAGCGCGCGAATGGCCCTTGTGGGAATAGGTACGTATGGTCCGTTTGGGCACTGTGGGTCAGAAAAGGAACTGCTGCAGAAATTGTGTTGTGGTGCATTTAAGGAACTTTTGTAACTGATGGTTTTTCAATAATGTGACATTACTTGGAATAAACTATTGCATTACAGGTGTGAAGCACTCTGACTTGAAGCAAGTCGCAGAGCAGTTTCTAAATATCCGAAGTGGAGCCGGCATTTCCAGCGCAAAGGCTGCCTACCGGGGGGGTGAGTGTAGCTCTGCTCCCAGGAGCTCATCGTAGTGTTGCTATAACACTATTAGTCAGAGTTGCAATGAAAACTGTATGGTTGTGCTGTGTGCTCTGTGTGGGAAATGACCACTCAGAGGTGTCTCTCTAAATAAGCAGAGGATTTTCTTTCTCCCACTGTTTTGGGAAAAAGAAAGCCCGTATGTTCAACAAAGTTTGACCTGCGCAGTCATGTCTATCTTAACACGGAATCTAAACTGGTGTCTATTTTAGCACAGTGTGTTTGGGGAGGTTCTCTGAAGAGCTGTGGAAAGCAGAGAGTTGACTGGAGCTGCTGGTAGGCTGCTTAGGGAAGGGCTGTTGGACTGCGTGAAGCCTTTTCTGAAACGCAAAGCACTGTGTTGCTCTTTCAGAGCAGTGTCTGTATAATACTGCAGTCTGCTCTTTGATTGGGGTGTCAGATCACTTTATAGTCAGATGGAAAAATAGGAAATTTTTACCATTTGAATGGAATAATTCCTTTTTAATTTGAATGGAATAATATCCTTCAGCTTCTACGATAAGGATAAACACTTTTATGATAAACAGGACAAATATTTCACATTTCATATCAATCAGCTCCAGTGCAGGCACATTCTGCAGTGGAGCTGAGGATAGCAGCATGAGAGTCAGGTCTGGAAATTCAGGAGACCTCAGGCTGAGAAGAGAGTGGCCTGGAGCAGCCAGGGGCCCAAAGGGCTTTGAAAGGGCGGCTGACACAGTGTGTGGGGGGGGCTGGGAGCAGAGGCACAACACCTCCCATGTACACATGGACAGTTTCTGGGCTGTGCTGCATCTGTTTGCGGGCTGCATGGCCTCTGTAGAGAGGAGCAGTGCCTGTTGAGGGGATGCTGGGTAGAGACTGAAGGGTCTGATAAAGCCAGAGGATGGCTACTGCTCCTGCTTATTCAGGTTGGGCCAGGGAAGGCTTCAACAGTGAGACTGCAAAATACTGAGGGAGACTTTGAGTGCCTTGTTAGGGGCTCGGGGCTGCAGGGGTCTGTGACTTGGGAAGAGCACTGGGGATCTGTCCAGTCCTGCAGAGATGGGATTAGGAAGGCTGAGACAGATGGAACTGAACTTGGTGAGGGGCATCTCTTCCCACATACAGAAGGGGCTCTGTAGGTGCTTTGGTCAGCAGAGACAGACAAGGGAGAGCACACCCCCTCTGGTAAATGAAAAGGGGGAGCTCACTCTAACAGACACGGAAAAGGCTGAGGTACTTCTTTGTCTCAGCCTTCACTGGCAGCAGGATTCCCGTGTTTCTCACACCCCTGAGCTTCTTGCTGACAAATGGGGGGACAAAATCCCACTGTACGGCAGAACAAGTCTGAGTCTGCCTCATGAAGCTGAATGTGTACAAGTCCATGGGACCGGATGACATCCATTGTGGGGTCCTAAGGGAGCTGGCTGAAGTGGCTGCTGAGCTGCTTCCATCATATTTGAAAAGTTGTGGATGTCAGGTGAAGAGGGAACCATCACTTATTTACAAGAAAGGGAGGAAGGAAGACCTGGGGAACCTGAGCATCACCTCTGTGCCTGGGAAGACCGTGGAGCAGATCCCCCTGGGAGAGATGCTAAGGCACATAAGGGTTGAGCGGGGGATGTGAGACAGCCAGCATGGCTTCACCGAGAGAGGATCGTGCCTGACCCATTTGCTGGCCTTCTGTGGTGGAGCGATGGCAGCAGCGGCCAAAGGAAGGGCGCCTGGCGTCGTCTGCCTGGATTCACGCGGGGCCTTCGAGGTGGTCCCGCACCACATCCTTGTGTGTGTGTTGGACAGAGATGATCTGAAGGGCGCTGCTCAGCGGATGAGGAACTGGTCGGCGCTCACAGCCAGAGCGCTGTGCTCAGCAGCTCTGTGTGCGGGTGGAGGCTGACAAGCAGCGTCCCCCAGGGGGCCCTCTTGGCACCGGTGCTCTTCAACCAACGCCGCGGAGGATGGCATCGAGCGCACCTCAGCAGTTTGCTGATGGCACAACAGCAGGGAGGGACGGCGCCCAGAGGGACCTGGGCGGGCTGGAGAAGCGGCACACGAGAACCTGCTGAGGTTGAGCAAGGCCCAGTGCGGGGTGTTGTACTTGGGTCGGGGCAATGCCAGCTGTGTGCAGGCTGGGAGAAGAGCTCACAGAGAGCAGCCCTGCGGAGAGGGACGTGGGCGTTCTGGTGGACCAAGAGCTGGACGTGAGGCAGCAGTGTGCGCTCGCAGCCCCGAAGGCCGACTGCATCCTGCGCTGCGTCAGCAGAGGGGGGCAGCGGGCAGGGAGGGGATTGTCCCCCTCTGCTCTGCCCTCGGAGCCCCCAGCTGCAGTGCTGCGTCCAGGCCTGGGGCCCAGCACGGGAAGGGTGGGAGCTGTTGGAGCGGGGCAGGGGAGGCAATGAAGATGCTCGGAGGTTGGAGCACCTCTGCTATGGAGACGTGCTGAGGAGCCGGGGCTGTGCAGCATGGACAGGAGAAGGCTGCAGGGAGACCTCATTGCGGCCTTCCAGGACTTAAAGGGAGCTGATGAACAGGAGGCAGACCGACCTTTTACACCAGCAGACAGGGAGAGGACAAGGGGGATTGGCTTTAAAGTAAAAGGAGCGGAGATGTAGAAATCCACACCTTGATTTCCCTCTGAAGAGCCTCCTGGCTACAAATGTTTTCATTTCTCTGAATGTGTAATAGTTTTTAACTGAACAATGAATTACCTTTTTTTTCCTGTTACTGTATTCTTAGGAGAAATCCGAGAACAGAGTGGCCACAGCCTTGTCCATGCTGCTGTTGTAACAGAAGGAGCTGCTGCTGGAAGTGCAGAAGCAAATGCTTTCAGTGTCCTGCAGCATGTTTTGGGTGCTGGACCACTTATCAAGAGGGGAAGCAATGTTACCAGCAAGCTGTACCAGGGCATTGCCAAAGTAACCACGCAGCCGTTTGATGTAAGTTCCAGGGGTTTCTGCACTCTGAGGTTTTGAGTAACAGCCATGCTGGCCTTTGGGAGCTGCCATTTCCATCTAGAATCATAATTAGTTACGTGGGTTGTTCTGAAAGTAGTGCGTTCTTTTTATTTCAATGGAAATGACAGTAGATACAAAGAGCACAGTAACATCATGTGATAGAGCAAATTCTCAGCTACAAAACACAGTTCTTCAACAGTCACCACCACTAGCTGTGCATTTTCACCGGCAGTGAACAAGAGCTGCATGCTGCACTCATACAGATCTGCACCAGTGGAGGTGAGCTGCTGTTGCTGCCCCACTGCAGAACGCAGCACCCGCACCCCTCACTGTGCCAGCAGCCACTGCTGGGTCTCCATCAGCTTCACAACTGTTCATCAGTCTGGGTGCCATTTTTTCTGCACAGAGGAATTCAGTGACAGCCCTTTGCTACATACACACTTCCACATCAGACATCACTCTGTCAGTGCCCCACTGCAGCCGTCTGTGACAAGCAGCAAAATGCAGTGTTAAATTGGTGGGAAAGTTCAGCCTCTGCCGCCACCGCACCAACGTCTGCCTCTGGGGTGGGCCAACATAATAAAACAGGAGGCACTACTTTCAGTGCAGCCCTTGTAGTTCTTTCCTCAGTGTCATCCTTGCACAGATGTGGCCTGGCATCCTCCAGCCTTTGGACCCTGATAGTAACTGTTTTTCTCTGCTTGATGCTGCGTTGTTGTGATACTTGAAACAGTAGATAATGGTGTTTCTTTTGCAGGCTTCTGCATTTAACGTGAATTACTCAGATTCTGGGCTCTTTGGGTTTTATACCATATCTCAGGCTGCACACGCTGGGGAGGTGAGTGGCTGGCTGGAATGTGGGTGTTGGCAGCCTGTGTCAGAGCAGCACAGTGCAGCGACAGAGCACCAGAAGCAGCTCGCTGGGCTCCTTGTGCCAGCTGGGGTGGGTCAGTGAGGAGTGGCAGTGCCTCATGCAGGTGTGGGCTGTGAGACGCCGTGCTCTGCTGGCTGTGCTGCTCTGTGTCTGTAGGGCTGTGTAGGTCAGCGTGAGATGTGTGGGGTGGAGTGAAATGTTCTCATGGAGGGTGGAGGTGCCATACAAATTAACAATTTAATTTGTTGTGGTTCAAATCCACACTGCTTTCTTTAGTCTATTTTGGCATTGATTGCGGTAGTTTTAGTTTTGTTGTAAAGCTGCTCAGCTCACAGCATAATAGAACGTGTTGCCATTTAATGCTGGAAGAAGCCCCAAGCGATCTCGTCTTCCTCAGGTCATCAGGGCTGCTATGAACCAGCTGAAGGCAGCTGCTCAGGGCGGTGTCACGGAGGAGGATGTCACAAAGGCAAAGTGAGTGTGGGCTGTGCTGAGAGGATGCATGTGCCCTGCCATGTGCTCTGTGTGCTGCGGTGCGGATGGGGCCCCTCACTCTTTCTGTGGGGAACTGCTCGCTGTCCTGCGGTGAAATGGAAGCACCACCAATGGGCTGCTTTGGTTTCCATTATTTTTCAATGATGACACTTAACCTCTGCCAGCAGTATTTCCTGTAAGGATCTTGTTAAGTAAATGTTAATTCTTGCAGGTAACTGTTTCAGAAACCAGCCAGCAGCAGCAGACACTGCTGTTTCAATCGTACTGTGTAGCACTACAACATAGTATGTTGGAATCCTGGGCTGCAGTGTGTCAATAGTTCACTCTGCAGTCACACTGCAACAATTGCTAAACAATTGCTACAACAGTTGTATTGAGCAACTGTGCTCTGAACCCTCAGAGAACAGCAGTGCTGAGGATCTGCAAATGTGAAGGGCTGGATTAGCAGTACTGCATCCAGCTGCTCCAAGATTGTGTTCCTTTAGGGGTGTTCGGTGTGGGGAAACCTCCAGAGGGCCAGCAGTGCCAGCCCAGCTTGGGGCGCCTGGCTCAGGCTGTGCTGTGTTGTGCTCAGTAGTGCTGCAGGCACTGAGCTGCCATATCTGGGCTGTGCAGAACAGCACTGCTGGGCAGATTGACTCAAGGGGAAGAAGGGAAATGCAGTCAGAGCCTGTTGGTTCTTAACAAAAGGTTGAGACTTAACTGTTCAGCAGGAAAGCTCCCCACTTCCCATCTGTGCTTCTGTCAGTTACGCGAGAATGGCTCTTATCTGTGTCTGGTCTTCATGAGATTCTGTGATCAATTTCACATCTAATTTGTTAACTTGATGATTTTGTCTCATTGTGGAGCAGTTGTATTTGTTATTTCAAGCAGAAGAAAGACACTTCTCAGCTGGGTGGTGGGTGGTCCCAGCGCACAGTGCCTCGTGCTGCCCTCGTGCTGTGACAATTTGCAGTGCCCCTCTGCTCACTGAAAAAAGGGAAGGACTGCAAAATGGGGGTCTTGAGAGCTTCAGGTGCTGGAAGGCTTCGCTGTGCTCGAGGTGGTGCTGTGGCGGGTGTGCTCACCTCTCCCTGTTGTGGGGCAGGAATCAGCTGAAGGCTGCCTATCTGATGTCAGTGGAGACAGCGCAAGGGCTGCTGAACGAGATCGGCTCCGAGGCGCTGCTGTCCGGCACGCACACTGCGCCTGCCGTGGTGGCTCAGAAGATCGACTCTGTAACCTCTGCTGATGTTGTGAATGTGAGTGTGTCCCCCTCCCACGTTCCTTAATGGCTGTGCGAGTTCCTAACAGAGGCACTGCTCCTTTGGGTTTCCTTAAACCACGAGAGAGGTGGTTCATAAATACCAGCTGGCTGACTTTTAACATCTTTATTAACAGAAGACAATTAGACAATATATTTACTGACTTGCATAAAATGAGTGTAGATGAGGGTACAAAGTCCCCACGCAGCACTGGCAAACACTCAGTGCCAGTCTCAGTCTGGGCACGTGCTGACACAGCTTGTTGGACTGTCGAGGGCAAAGTGCTTGGTGTGCAGACCAGGACTGCTGCACTTCCTGCAGTAAGTTGGCACAACCACATTTGCTGTTCTGAGCTCCTGCCTTCATGATACTTGAAGCAAACTCCGTCCAAAAGTCCATCAGGGACAGAAATTCTAAGACAGCAAATGTTTTTCCCAGTCTCCGCTTGCCCATTGCTGCTGTGATGTGAAGCTGTGGCAGAGCCGCAGGATCCCGTGGTGCTGTCACTGTCACTCTCATTCAGTGGTGACCACTTCCAAGGAGCCATGCTTCTCCCATGTCATTGTGCCGTTCTGTTGGAGCAGCAGAAGCTCAGGCAGCACAAGGGAACTCGTTGGCGTGGCGTCCTGCTGTAGTTGTGTTGGGTTCTTTGCTTTCTGACTGCTGTAGTGAATGTTTCCTTACATCGATTTTCTGATGTATTTTCAGGTTGCAAAGAAGTTTGTCAGCGGGAAGAAATCGATGGCAGCCAGTGGAGATCTGGGCAATACTCCCTTCCTCGATGAGCTGTAAAAACAAAGCTGGGATGTGGATTCAGGATGGGCCTGACTTGGTCACCTGTGCTTAGAGAAATTACTAACTTGTTATTTATGAATTCAGTTATTGGAGAAAATGAATCTGGAGTAATTGTGGGCTTGCACTGATCAAATAAAGTGCTGAGTTCATATGTTCTGTGTTGCTTTCCTTTCCCTGAAGCAGTACCTGTAATTCTGGTGTGGCTCTGTATCTCAAAATCAAGCTGCAGGGAGGAAATAAGGTGAGTGAGTTGCTGTAAAAATTGCCTGTTCAAAACAGTTCTTGTGATGCAAGTCATCCTCATCAGCTGGTGTGCTGGGACAAGGCCCTGAGACACAGCTCTCTTTGCACAAATGAAGAAAGGTAACTTCACAAAGAACTACATGATAGCATCTTAGAGCTTGTGCTGGGAAGTTGTGTTCTCACACTTGAGCATAAATCGCCCTCACTGCCAGTCCTGCTGTCATCCTCAGTGCCTTCATTTGTGCTGGAAGGACACAGTGTGGAGCTGCTCAGATGTGCAGCGGTTCCTGTAGCTGCTCAATTTAATTAATGTGCCTAATTGTGGAGTCCAAAGTTTTTTCGACAAGTCAGAATTAGATCACAGAATCACAGAATGGTGTGGGTTGGAAGTGGCCTTCAAGACCATCTCATCCCAACCCCCTGCTGTAGCAGGGACACCTCCCATAGCCCAGGTTGCTCCCAGCCCCATCCAGCCTGGCCTCGAGTGCTTCCAGGCAGGGGGCATCCACAGCCTCGCTGAGCAACCTGTGCCAGTGTCTCACCGCCCTCACAGTAAAGAATTTCTTCCTGATATCTAGGCTAAAGCTACCCTCTTCCAGCTTAAAACCATTTCCCCTCATCCTGTCGCTACATGCCCTTATAAAAAGTCTCTCCCCAGCTTTTCTGTGGGCCCCTTCAGGTCCCAGAAGGACTATAATGTCTCCCCAGAACTTTTTCTTTTCCAGGCTGCACAGCCCCAGCTCTCAGCCTGTCCTCGTAGTGGAGGTGCTCCATCCTCTGCTCGTCTTCATGGCCTCCAACAGCTCCACGTCCTCCTTGTGTTGGGGGCTCCAGAACTGGACGCAGAGCTTCAGGTGGGATCTCATGAGAGCAGAGCAGAGGGACAGAACCACCTCCCTCTCCCTGCTGGTCACACTTCTCGTGATGCAGCCCAGGATCTGTTTGGCCTTCTGGGCTGCAACCACACGTTGCTGGCTCATGTTGAACCTTTCATCCACCAACACTCCAAATCTTCCCCAGGGCTGCTCTCAAGCCATTCTCTGCCCAACCTGTATCTGTGCTTGAGGTTGCCCCAAATCAGATGCAGGACCTTGCACCTACTCTTGAACTTCATGACATTGATACGGGCACACCTCTCAAGTCTGTCCAGATCCCTGTGGATGATGTCCTTTCCCTCAGCTGCACTCAGTTTGGTACCACCTGTAAAACTGTTGAGGGTGCACTCAATCCCGCTGCCCACGCTGCCTACAAAGATGGTGAATCACCCCAGTCCCAGCACTGGTCTTTGAGGGACGCCGCTCAGTACCAGTCTCCACGTGGACATTGAGCAATCGACAGCCATCCAGCCAATGCCATAACCAGCCAGGGCTCCCTCCATCACATCCATTTGTCTCCAATTTGGTGACCATGCAGAACAATGCCAAATGATTTGCAGAGGTCCGAGCAGACGATGTCAGTTGCTCTTCCTTTATGCACTGATGCTGTAACTCTGTCATTAAAAGACCAACAGATTTGTCAGGCATGGGTTGCTCTTGGCAAACCGCATCGGTTACAACCAATCACCTCCCCTTTATTTTCCACGTGCCTCGGTGGGGCTGTCTGCCAGGAGGATCTGCTCCACGATCTTGCTAGGCACAGAGCTGACACCGACTGCAGTTCCCTGGATCGTTCTTTTTCCCTTTCTCAAAGATGGAGATTTTGTTCCCCTTTTCCAATCGCTGGTAACTCCTCCAGGCTGCTGTGACTTTTCAAATATGATGGACAGCAGCTTGGCAGCTTCATTGCCAGTTCTCCCAGAACTCATTGGGTCCCACGCACTTGTTCTTTAGATGGTCTTGAACCTTGTATGGGCACTGCTGAATCACGGCCTGAACCTCTGATTGACCACCTGAGGTGAGCCATGGCTCAGCCCTGGGAGCACAGAAGAAGGCAATTCAGCTGTACTGCTGGAAGGGATGGAGCCTGGCTGCACCTCTCCTAGAGCCATTGAAGGGCTGACTGCCGGGGGGAAGGATCTCTTCTGGACATCGCTCCTCTTGGCATCTTCTCAATGCTTCTCAGTGAGCCCAGGATGAGGGTAAGCTTTCCATCCATTCTTCTTTGCTGTGATCACCTATTTAGCTTAACTTTCCTGTATATTTCTTAATTATAACACCTGTATATTTATTGATTATACAAACCTAATCTTCACTTACAGCAGCTCTACCTTCTCCCAGTTCTTACCGCTGCTTTCTGCAGCTTGGGCAGTGTGGCACAGAGCCCTTGCCAGTGAAGGCTGAGGCGAAGAAGTCATGGAGCACCTCAGCCACATCCCTCGTGACCAGGGCTCGTTTCCTCCCAGAGAGGGGCCTGCGTCTCCCTGGCCTTCCTTATCGCTGATCCACCTTTATCACAAGAATTTCTTGTTCCCCTTGATTTATCTTGTTTGGGTTTTGGCTTTCCTAGCCCGATCCTTGGCTGCTTTAACAGCTCCTTTGTAGTCCCCCCAGGTCATCTGCTCCTGCTTCTACCCCCATAGACCTTGTATTTGAATGTAAGTCCAGGAGCTCCTTGTTGATCCACGGAAGCCTCCTGGTATCCTTGCCTGCATTCCTCTTCCTGGGGAAGCTCTGCTTCTGGCCTTGGAGGAGATGGGCCTTGAATACCAACCGGCTTCCTTGGGCCCCCCTTCCCTCCCGTGCTTTCTCCCACATCTCCCTGCCAAGCGGTCCCCTGATGAGTTCCGCTTCTGCTCTCCTGAAGCTCAGAGCAGCCCCTCGCTGTGCTCCCTCTTTGACACCCCGAGGATTTTGTACTCTGCCGTTCGCGGTCACTGCAGCCCCGGGCTCCCCGTCAGCCCGCAGCCGCCGCTCGGTGAGGACGGAATCCAGCACGGCGCCGTTCTCGTGGGTTCCTGTATTGCCGGGAAGAGGAAGGTATCAGCAGTGCGTTCCGCGACCCCCGCTGGCTGCCGGCACGCTGCTGCGCCGTTCCTCCGGCGGACGGGGTGCCTGAAGTCCCGCACGAGGGCCGCGTTTCGTGAACGTGAAGCTGTTCCCGTGTGTCTATAGAGGGCTCGGCGCTCCTGCCGGCGGGGCAGCTCGCAGCAGACCGCGCTCCGGCCTTTCTTCCCTTTAGCCCTGACCCATTCGCTCTCTGCCAGCTCCCCGTCCATCCCCGGTGGAGCCCCACGGACCGCAGCCGGCCGCCGGTAAGGAGCTGTCGTGCCCCCCGACGCGTTCCTCCCCTCCCGTTCCGCACCGCGGGCCGCAGCCGCCCCGCCGCGTCCCGCCGACGCCGCAGCGCTGTGGCTTCGCACGGTGGCGGCTCCTCCCGCGTCCCCGCGGTCGCCGTACGGCGTCGGGCGGAGTTACCGACGGCCCTCTCCCCCTACGGGGGGCGCTCCCGGGTCGCGGTCCGTCCGTGCCCGCCGTCAGCCCCGCAGCGGGACGGGGTGAGAATCCCCCGCCCCGGCGACTCCGGCCGCACCGGAAGCTGCCGAAGGAGCCCTGTCATCCCCGGCAGAACGGAATCCCCGCGGCCCAACGGCGCCGCTCCCGAACTGCCGGGTTTCGTCTCGGCCTCTCCTCTCCGCAGCGCTCCTGCTGGCACCGCCGGCGCTGCGATCCCTTCGCTGCCGCTCGCGGCTCCTCGCGGTCGGTCGATGCGCGGTGCTGCGTGCCGTGTCGGGCCGAGGTGCGGCGGCGCAGCCGTTGTTCCTCAGTGCCGGGGCGGTTCGCCCGAACGCGGGGCGGACGTCGCGACATCGCGGCGCCGCTCCGTGAGGCTCCCGGACCCCCCACCTCCCCCACCGCGTCCGCTCCGCACCGCGCGCTCCCCGCACCCGTAATCCACTTTTTCCTACGGGCTCCATCGCGGCCGCTGCACCCACGGCCGTTTTGTGCGTTTCGGTTGGTGCGGGAGCGTCCGCCTCCCCGCGCTCCTCCCATCCTCCCCCCCTCCGCTTCACCGCGGCCACGTTTAGGAAGAAACCCGGATCAGAAAATCCCAGCTCAGGAAATCGGAGATCGCCGCGCTCCGCTCCACGGCCGGTGAGTCTCACCTCTGTGCCTGGGAAGATGATGGAGTGTGGGAATGGAATGTTGTTTCTGCGTTCGATATTAAAAAGAGCAATTGGTTTGAGGAAGTAGAACATCACGCATTTGTATTCCTTAACTTAGCCTTAGAAATAGTTGATCTAAGAAGTAAAATACTGTATCTGTTAGCAGAATGTTTTGGAAAAATAATTACTGAATTATGTGATTACTTCATTCTTGCAAAACTGTAATAGTTGTTAAATGTTCTAAACAATGCGAGTATAGCGTGCTAAGGATTAGAAAACATATTGTAGAGCTGTTCTGTTAGGATAAGAAACTCTCAGCAAAAGACAGACAGATTTAGCAAACATCAAAGAAGTCAGGGCCTCTACACAAGGCTGAACTGTCTCACTCCGTGAGCAGGTTGGGGTGTGAAGGCAGGCACCAGGATCCTCCCCTGCCTCTCTCCTGAGCTGATCTTTGTAGAAAGGAGGACAAGCAGATATCTGCAAAATAACGATCAGGTGTGGAATAAGTTAATTAACTACAGATTTACGTTTATGCAGCAAAAATTTGTTTGTCCAGTGTTCGCGTGTTTAGTGAAGCGTTGAGAAGATTGTGAACCTGAAGTACTCAGCCGATGAGGAACCAGGGGAGTAAGAGATCAGCGTCGGGGAATAGGGAATAAAAGGTGTAATGCTGTTTTCTGGGTGCTCTCCCGCCATTGCAATTGCGAATAAAATCTGCTTTATCAGAGATACCGTCCTAGAAAATTATTTGGATATTTCCTACAAACAGATCCTCCTGGATGACATGCTTGATCACATGAGGAAAGGGCGTGTGATCCGTGACAGCCAGC